GGCGCCCCGGCCTCGGGTCCATCGGAGACCGACGGACCTTAGGAGGGGGGTAATGTCACGGACGTTGGACAGACGCCCCTTTGTGCCGCCCATTCCCTTCCCTTTGACGCCCACCTTCCATTTTCGGACTGTTTCCTTTCCTAGCTCATCCCAGTTTGGATACTGTAGATACGTTCCCACAGCCGCATGCTACATTCCCGTGATCGCCATGCCTTTGCCTTTTCTTTCTCGCCCTTTGTTCTCCCTTTGTCATCTTCACTGCCTTGCTCTCGCGCCTTGTCCTTGGTTGCTAAGCAGCCCCTCTAGTATATAAGGACCCCCTTAGGCGCTCCCTAGTCCCCATCTCGACCTCTTGGTCATTGGAACTAGGTGAGTGACCATAGCATTGTACTTCCCTTCGAGTGCTAATGTATAACTTGGTCATTGGGACCAGTCTGTCGCTGTCTGCGTGAAGACTAGCTTTCGCAGGTCTCGTGCCCTCGTGCCGACCTCCGCTCTGCCCTCGTCGAGTTCCTTGCTACGTTTATCCCTCTTTATCTCCCTCTTTCTCTTTCGGCTCCTTGCCGCTCACCTACGAGGTCGTCGCCGAACGTCAACCTGAGTCTACGCGCCTAGTCGCTGCGACAGTGACCTTGAACCCCCAGACCCCCAGTGAACCAGTGTGCTAAGCTTGTCATCAGTCTGCATCCTCATTGTGCATAACCTGCACACGACACCTTGAGTGCTGACACGCTTCACCGTAACAGCATGCATTTGATTAGTCTCATGACCAGATGTTCGGAGCTCCAAGCGGGAACAAAAAATCGGAGGTTCCCAAGTACCTTGGCGTCTGGTGGCTTTACCCCTGTGACTCCCCGCTCAGTGACCTATGTGACCTCCCTGCCCTCTCTCCAGGAGTCCAAGCTGTCCTTGCGTGCATGCCTGCATGCTTATCTCCTGCCATCTTCGAGCTGCGCTGAGCCTACTCTGCACTATCTATGATATCTGCAAGCAGTCAATCCCCCTGTAATCCTCTGTCTCTGATATAGGCAATACACTGTGACTTCTCTTTGTATGTGTAACCGAATAACATAATGTGTCTGAATTCAGGAGTGCGATGCACCTATCGCCGTGTCCACTGATGCCCGTCACCTTGGGCTTGTACCCCTTCGAGGTTTCCTTCTCTTCTATGGGAGTATCATCGCTCAGATCCGCACTCTGTCCAGCACCAGAGTAATATCACCAGCGGTGGTCGAACTCCTGTCAATTCCGTCACAGGTTGTAGCAGGTAATTTCGAGGAGAGCGGGCATCATGGGAAGAGGCATCCTCAGCAATGATATCATGCATCTCTCGCAGGGTGCTCTACAATACGTGTGGACGAGCGCACGCCACGCAAGGGGTTCATGGTCAGTAGCTCGAGCGACTTCATGGTCATCTACAGCAGGCCGCCACATCACACACTGAGGGTGACCTCCGGCTTTCTTGGACTGCCCCAAATGGGTGTCAATATGTCACACAGGTCACCGAGCGGGGAGTCACGGGGGTAAAGCCGCCAGACGTTTGAGTGTCTAGATGCCCCCGATTTTTCGCATCCGCTTCACACTCCAAATGTCTGGTCACGAGACTAGCATTTGATGAGTGATGCTGAGGATCGTTCTCTACTTGTAGTAGGGGTGGTCAGAGTTCGCGATTACAGAGTGATTATATGACGATTATGGGATGCGATTTTGAGGACGATTCCGACACCGTAATCGCGATTTTGGCATAATCGTGTGTAATCGCGTAAGCTCCTCCAGAGGAGCTTATGCGCTCCATAATCGCGATTCTGCTTCTTGTGATTCTGTGTCAACCCCCTTCGTCTCACTTGTCTCCCCGTCTATAGCCCATACAAGACATATTTCGTGCGGATTTGAGTGACAAAATAGTTGCATAAGTACCCCATGAGGTAACTGCGACGAAACAACGACTTTCTACAGAAGATTTATACCCATATTGGCGATTTCGCCTCAAAATCGCTCGATTTCGGTGGGAAAAAATGCGGAGTCAATTTATAATGACCTTTTTGAATATGTAGGGTGTTCAAAGGCACGTCAGAGCTCGAAACCAAAGGCAGACGTTGAGCAGATAGCTGAGAAAAGCAGAATCGCAGTACCAGAAATCGAGTTCATAATTGCTTTGTGACATGGGGTGGTCAGAGTACAGGTCGATTATGAGGTGATTAAGGCTCTCATAATCACTCCATAATCGCTCTCAGAATCGCCCCGTAATCGCGAACTCTGACCACCCCTATTATAAGTTACAATGGATGTTGTTATGCGTGCCGGATGCAATAACTGAAGTGCAGGTGCTGACAAGGTGTCTCGACAGGCAAGTCAATTGGTGTATACCGATCCTTTTCTTAGACGTTCATGATTGATTATCGCCGTGCATTCCTAGCTCACAGCTTAGTCTCCCTCACGTTGCATTTGATGGCGAGCAATACGCGGCGACAGTGGGCGGTCAAACTGACGATTCATGCACGCAGTCGATGCCGATGTGAAGGACAGTTGCTCAATCCAACTCTGCAGCCCAGAAATGTTGCCTGCGTGCGACGGTATGTCAAGTCGGCTTTCCATCCCGCAACCATCTTCCGGCATTTACTCCCTAGCCGTCGCATTGTCCCAGACATTGCAAGCTCACACGCACGACCGTGCCCACAGTTATTCCCACATCGTCGTTGGATAGTCTGCTGTCGAAGACGCCAATACGTCCACCACTAGAGCCGTTGCTGGGGCTCTAGGTAGATGGACTACAAAGACGCATGTATCACAACAGATCGTTCGTTCCATTCGAGATGTCAATGTTCGTTCGCGCGTTCACGTGGAAGCCAAGAGCGACATGCTCCACCGATGGCAAGACCTCGTCACGGTTATCGGACCACCACTCAGTACCCAGTACTCGGGTGGGATATACAGTGTCTCAACGAACAAAGGCGTGTGCTTGCATACATGAACGGTCGAATGGCAGGAAGACACCTCGGCACGGAGACTTGAGTAGGGGCGAATCCGAAGACGCCTGTAATGCGGAGACGAAGATGCATAGACGATGTGCGTGAGCATGCTGATGTACCGAGTGCGAACGAGCACGGATTCAATGATACAATGTGGTAGGAGGCCGAGCACGGAACCGAAACCAGCACGGACAGGCAAAGCACATATGTAAGTACTAGACACGAAGGACTACGATGAGCAGTGATGGTGGAGCAAGCAAATCCGACAAGTTGTGATGCGTTGATGAGTATTGTTGATGGTTTGTGGACGTAGATGCGATAACGGAGGCCCCGGGCCTCCGGTAGTGGATCTGGAGAGATGAAGAGAGGACAAGCTGCGAAGAAGTTGGCAGAGAAGAGGGGGAAAGTCTATGCGAGTAAGCGAGCAGCATGAGCAGCAAATGGCGAGCAATACGACGACGAATCCAACTGTGGAACGAGCGGAGAGATACGAGGAGACCGACACAGGAAGAGCCAAGACAAACCAGCCAGCGGACCCCCGCACCGAACCACATCGCGACTCACGGCGACGAATTCTGCGTGTTCTGCCCAAGCACCGCCATGCTCTTCCGCCGGAAGATCTTCGTCACCTTCGCCCAACTGCCCATCGCCGCCGACAACCTCCTTTCCGGACTCTCCTTGCCGAAGCCCGTCACCGTCGCCCCCGCGGACATCGGAATGCTCGGCATCGGCATGCTCACCGTCGACCGTCTCGACCGCGTGCCGCTGCTGCGCCCGTTCACCGCCTCTGCCTGCGCAAACACGAACGTCGTCCCTTGTGGCGTCCCCGGCAGCACCACATCCTGACCGCCGTCGTGTTCGGCCTCCACCGTCGCCTCCTCCACCGACACCCCGATCACCACCCCAGCCCCGGGCACGACCGCCAGCACGTCGCGCGAGCGTGTGCGCGCCCGCGACAGCCGGCGTGCAATCTTCTGGCCCATCGCCTTCCCCAACGAGGGCCTGCCGGCGATCGTCTCCATCTGCGTCACCTGCTCCTCGTCGTGCCCGTCGTCATGAGGTGGCGGCTCGGACGCGGACGCGAACGAGTCTGCTGACCCGCTGTACTTTTGTGCTTGGTAGAACGCGCCGGAGTTCGACGCTTTGATGATCACCGAGTTTTGGCGCGAGGGGAGCGTGCTCGGGTTCTCGTACGTGCCTGAGGAGAGGTCTGTTGCCTGCGCAAGGAGGGCATATGTCAGCACTGTTCTGCGTTCGCGTGGAAGCCAGGAACCGGAACGCGAAAGAAGAGGGCGTCTGGTACTGGGCGCAACTCAGGCACCGAAGGACGCTCGGACGAAATGGCGACCGCGAGGATATGTCACCAATAATGTGGGAACAGTTGGACCACAGGCTCCAGAGGGCGAGAAGGGCAAGGATCACCGGGATGATTGACCGCAATCCAGTATGTGATGGTTCGCATCTCGTCCATGATGGTACATGATCGTCCCTGTCGCACATGCGGTTTCGATGCAGAGGCCTGGACCTCATTACACTGCAAACCCGCACCACGACAGACAATGCTCAGGGGAGTGATGCAGCGTACTGAGCTTGTGCAACGATCGTCCGCGCACGCCCAGGCCCTTGCAGGAAGACATCAGCGCATCTCGACGACGCTCTCGTGATCTGCGCGCATGCGGCGCAAGCGACATCATCCATGCTCACCACTGCATCCCGGCATACCCCGAAGGAGCAACAACAGAAGCGAATAAGGAAGGAGAGGTTCGACGCAGAAATCGAAGCCCTCGCACCAACAGCACCCGCGACGACGAGCACTTCTCAGTACTTGCGATTTGCCAGAGCCGTACAGTCCGCCTACGGTTCAAAGGTGGGGATAGAGAACAAAGGCTGCCCCTAGAACGGTTGACGACCAGTGCGATCTCAGCACAAGCGCCGCGCAGGACGATGCGGATCGGCGAAAAGCGACGATGGGTCACGTTTATTACACCCGCAAGACGCGTAGCACCAAGCTGCCGCGACTACAGACCTAGGGGCGGACTAGAACGACGATGGGGATATGCATGAACGTGATGACAGCAGTCTGATGCACGTAAATGAAAACATATGCGCGCGTTCGCATCGCACGCTCTCACATCCCTCATCCGAGCACTTTCCGAGCGAGAGCAAGGTTCGAGGTGGTGTTCGGGATTGCTGCCTATGGGCTTTGCCTTGCCCTCCGCTGTGAGGCTACTTCGCCTGCCCTGACTAACCCCACGCGCATGAGAGACAAGGAATCGACGCATTGAAACCCCGCAAAACATGTTCAAAGCGTCAGAAGAGCAGAGGCTCTGAGCGACCCGGCTTCGCCGCCAACAAATTCGGCAAAAGCCCTCCTCAGGCTCCAGGTAGACGCGCCCGAAATGCTTTCCGGTGGAAGACACGTTGCAGGACGACGAGACGCTCCCACACACGGGCGCTCTCAGACCCGCAGTGCGGCTTCGGCGACGAGCCGCTCCAAAATTGAAGAGTCGGAGACAGGGAGCCTAAAGGCCACGCCCTCGGAGCTATGCAGAGGCAAGCTTGAAAGTGTCTGGAAGACGTGTTGAGGTGATGACGCACACGCCACATAGCCGAAACGCGTCGCGTCGCGTAGTCCGCAGATATCCAACGAAACAGCAACGTAAGCCACAGACAGACCTAGCGCGCCGAGCAAAGCCCGACATCGGTCGCGCGGACGACCAACGACACGACACGTAGCACGTCGTACGTACATGTGCACACCTACATGAATAGGAGGTGCACCAAACTCTCCCCTAGTCGGCGACCTCGGCATAGATGGGGGGAACGCGCGGGTTCCGCAGTAGACTCTAGCTGTGGGATGACCCGAAGGGCTCGAAGACGCGTTCCGAGCATGTCCCTTCGGAACATGTGGACAGACAAGAGGGACAAGTCACAGCAGGGGTCCGGATGTTTGCGACCGGGGGGAAATCCATGTAAAGGGGAGGCAGAAGGCAACCGTCTGCCGTGGAAACGTCGCGTCTTCATCGACTTTTCGCAGATCGAACACACCCGGTTTGCTGCCGCGAGTGCAGACCACTTATACCATGTGCTGCCTGACAGACAAACCACACCCCAAAAGCAGCAGAAAGGAAGAAGGCAAAAGAAGACGCGAAGCCGAAGACCAGCGGAGCGGGAAACGCGACGTACCTGCCCGAAGCGCGACACCGAGATACTCCCCCGTCTCCTCTCCCGCACCGCCGCCACCGTCGCTGCCGAAACGGAGCCGACCGGGGCAGGGCTCGCGGGGTACGCGGTTATGGAGGGTGGGGTGGACGCGGTGCCCGGTCGTGAGCGGTGCTCCTCCTCCTCGGCGCGTCGTGCGGTCTCTTCTTCCACTCGCTGGAAGATCTACGACGTGTTCTGTGGTGAATTTATGCGAGAGAAGGGAAGGCGCGTACGGACGGACCTGTTCGATGAAATCGTGTCGCGTGTCTGGGGCGACGTCGACTTGCATGGGCTCCGGCTCTGAAGGGGGGTCGGACTTGAACTCGAGGACAGTGTTGGACTCAAACCCGGAGTCGGACCGAGCGAGAGAGGCTGCCTCCGAGTGTGTAGGGATCGCGGATGACGGGAGAGCATGCGCGTGCATGTCCGAAGACTTGGTGGACTCTGGTGCGTTATACATCGTGCAAGGGCTGGAGGGCATGCAGTGCGGAGGCTTGCGCGGGAAGAAGCGGATGGGAGGACAAGAAAGTCAAGATGGGGGGAGGAGAGACGGGAGCGGGCGTGCGTGAGAGGATGTGGAGGGGATATATGAGGGTGATCACTGATGTTCTTCCCGAAGCGGGCGAAGCACCTGCATCAACCGACGGCGGCGGGAACGAAGCCAGGTCCGCCCCTCCCCGGCGCATGTCCGCTGCAAGCCAATCATCTGAATCGGCCACCGTCACCGCCTGTACCAGCTTTGCAGTCGTCCACGAAAGGAAACGCAGCTCTCCGTAGAAGAGGTTGGAGTAGACGCCCGTCCGCAAGTCCCCGCGCCCCAATCCCTCCCGCGTGCTGTATATAGCCAAAGCGTTCCTGAGAAGAGAACTCTGACCGCGCACTCAAAACTCAGAACAGAAAACGTCGCCCTTTCCCACACCGGCACTGCGGACCCGAGCCCTACCATCGGTCACCCGCCCGCCCTCGGAGTCCTTCACGCTCGACCGTCCCGCCGCCGACGGCGGGAGCGGATCCGACGGCTTGTGGCGAGAGGTTCGCACCCCTCGTGGCTCGCATCCGCCATGCATCCAATCAACTGTCGCTCGCCCACGAGTCCACGACCCGATGTACGTACGTTACGCTCTGCAACGTGAAATGGAAGCGTTTCTGGCTGCCGGTCAACCGGTCAATTCGCCGGTCCCCCCCCGCTGAGCATCGCAGGGAATGAGAAGGCCACCACTCGGCCGAAGAACGTCCAGGACCTGATATGCCGAGCCAAAATCCATGGCCCCAATGTACATGCTGTAAGGAAAAGTCTATTTGGAAGCCCCAGGCGCCAGTCTGGGTCCCAAGGAGAAGCTGAACATAAAGCTGACTGGCGGTTCCCAAGCTGAGTCTCCACGATGATGGAATGCGTGGTAGACCGTCTAGACTGATCCCTATCCCTGCATGCTGCCTCCAATGTGTAAATGTCATACCGCAGTAGACTATGATGAAGTCGTAAGCCTGCGCCAGAAGCCTAGCGCTTAGTGCGCTGGACACGTCCACCAGAACGTCTACGGGCCGCCGGGCGAAGCCAAAAAGTATGTTCACGCGGTCCTGCGTTTCTGGGGTGCATGTCACGGCCGCCGGGCAATGTGTACTTGTCGACAGAGGCATAGAAGAAATTCCCGAGAGGGTACAGGGTCGTGCGAATAGTGATCAACGCCTCGTTGTTCACCCGGAGCCGAGCCCAGTGACCAGTCGTGTGGTCCTGCGTGCTCGAGTTCGATACCTCATTTGCTGAAGACGTGTAGGGGGATAGGCATGCTCCATTCGTGCCCTCTTGCCTTTGGCCGCTATGAAATTGGCGTAGTCCGAACATGTGTACAGCGAGAGTGCACGCGAGAGACTCGACTGACCAGACCATTGTGAAGCGTTCCATAGCCGCGTGTTAGATATTCCCACGAATAGAATCAAACCGCAAAGGTCGTCAAAGATACGACTGGCCAGCCCGACTTATCCTGATCAACCTCCGCTTAAGTGGCCTTGATCGTCTCGCAAACCAATAACCCCCTACTCTTATCCTCACCTGGACCCCACGACCCTGCGCACTCGCTGGCACCATGTCCGGCCTCCTTGCCTACCTCCCGCACCTCCTCTACTCCACCGCGCTCACCTCCATCTCCATGCACCACCTCTCCCAGCGCAAAGCCGCCGAGGACGACCGCGCGCACGTCGCCGCCCAGATCTCCATCCTCGAGGACCTCCTCGCCCGCCCGTCTCTTCCCGACCCCGAGTTCCAGCGGCTCTGGCGACTTGCACGCTCGCACGACGTCTGGGAAGCGCGGAAGCACGTCGGGGACGAGGCGGCGGGGAACGTGAAGAGCGTGCACGTAAGAGCGCGGCCGGCCGAGGACATCGGCTGGCGGGAGGTCATGTTCGGGAGGAGATTCGATACGAGCCGGACGGAGGAGCTCGACCGGCAGGATTTGGCGAGAGGTAAGTGTGTCACGGGTGGGATGTGTTGTTTGGGCACTTGATTCAATTGCTGGTATAGTGGCGACAGAGGTCGAGGAGGGCTCGAGATCAGGGAAGTAGCGGGTGGAATATAGGCAACCTCTATCCGGAAGACGTGCGTGGACACGCCGCATGCAGAACTGCACGCTGCTCTGCCGCTGCCCAAGATGGCTCGCAAATGCCTCAGGCCTATTTCACGCCATGACGACTCGTTCTCGTTCGAAACCGCGGGGTTCCAGACTACGATCGTGGTGACCTTCGGGGTGAGCGTGGCGGTGGAGGCTGCACAATCAAGGAGCATGCCAGGCAGTGGGTAGGCTTTCTGCACAGTCGGTTGCGCTCGTGTATGAAGGTGCTGTCAAAACCGAGCTACTCTGCTCTTGAAGAACCCATGTACCGCTTGTATGACCTCTTCGAATGTAGTTGCCCCTTACAGGTACAGGACGTGCTTCAGATCGCCTCATTACCTCAATGGTCGCGAAAATCATTTCTCCATCTCCCATCGCACGACCTTTGCGGCGAGCTGCTACTAACCCTAGGCCGTTCCAGGTTCTCTCTTGGGCCTATAGTCGCTTCCAGGGCGACATGAGCGTACCAAGCCAAATCACCGGGCAATCGTTCTAAGATGCTTCCGTAAGTCGACGCCGGCGCTTCACGCTGATGAGCTCAAGGGGAGCCAGGCGGCGGCAGGCTTACCAGATAGGCCAGAATCCAAGACTGGACGACTTCGTGAACTTTGTCTGGCAGATGCCTGATATACACTCCCCATTGAGGACGGCGATGGCGACGAGTTGTTCGTCAATTGCAAAAGGAAGATGTAGGGACACATGTTCGACAGTCGTCCTGTGCAGGGTGAGACGACCCCGGTGGCCTGTCGCGAACGATAGAGGAAGTAGAAGCATTTCATGCATCAAAAAGCAGGAGAGAATGGCTAGGCTATGATTCAGATCCCTCGAGAACGCATGCATGAACACCACGGAGGGCAATGACCGTGAGAGGGGTCCGAAGATCCATCTATGCCGTCTTGCTCCGGACGTCCCACGCAGGCATGATCTTTTCCACTCGCTGTAGCGAAGTTTGTGGCGAATCCTGACAGATCTTCGGGTACATCAACATCAATACGTGAAGCTGCTAGACAGCACAGAATGCAAGCTCACGACGAGGCCATTGTAGCAGAAATGTTGCACGTTTACTCATGAAATGTCGTGAAGTCCGCTCACCGAGCTGACGACAGTGGTCACGTACTGACTATTGTGCGTCTGACTTGGCGGGGGGCGATAGCCAAATTATCCCACTGGGAGGCGGTTCGGTACTCCCCAGTCCATGGGAGTGTGTGTGATCATCAGGGCGCGCCACAACGTCTTGAAAGGAAGCATACCCTTCTTTCTTCGCCTGATGCGATGCCTCGCGATGTAGGCTGTGCGAAGGGCCTCCAAGGATGCTCATGTTCCGCGCTAGAGTCATAGCGACGATGTCCTACACACGGAACACGGCGGACTTTGAGGAGAGGAGGGGAGTATAAGAAGGGCAAGGGCTCCAGCCAGATGTCTCTGCAAGCAAACCGAGTCCACTGAGCAGAGGTGAGTCAGCAGGTTCGAACTCTCAAATGCGTACTATCAACATACCTGCGATGGAATACAGCTCAGTCTTATCCCGGTCCGGCCACTCCTTGCATTCCTTTCTCTTTCGCCTTCTTTGCCCCTTCTTACATCGTTGACGATGTCGGCCTTCAACAACCGCTTTGGCCACCTCCCCCACTTCTTCGTCGAACCCCACTCCGGCGTCACTGACGACACGGTCCCCCAGACCCCCGCAGAGCGCTCGACATTCGATACCACCGCGCCCAGCGATCCCCGCCACGCCGGAGGACCGGAGGCTGGCGTGAATGCTACGCGTGATCCAACACATGGCCAATCAGAGCGGGTGCATGCCCACAGCCACCCTCTTCTCCACTCGACTGGTCAGGACCATGCATCTCCCTCATCCCAAACGCGTCGGCATACACTCCATATCGTGCCGGTGTCATTATCGGGGGAGACAGGCACGTCGAATGTGCCTCCCACGCCAGTCAGCCCTCGCGCACTGCGTCGCTCTACACGTTCGGGAGGTCGTTTCTCAACCAGCGAGGACGGTGATGATGACGCACACGATGGGATGGGCGACCTCTTGATGGAAGGAGCCATGCTGCTCGGCGTCGCGGCAGGCCATCTCCTTGCCTCCCATTTCCAGACCGAGGAACCTGCTGCACAGGAGAGGGGGCATGACGATGAGGGCGAAGAGGATGCCTAGAGGTGCCCGAAGAAAAGCCGGATCAGGGTGCGGCACGTTTTCTGTATCTATTGCTTATTCAGCTGTAGCGGTAGTTTGTAGTGTATGGTTGAGTTCGGGTGCAGAATTGTAGGCTGAGCTGCCAAAGAGGCTGAGTGTCCGTAAGACACCGAGCAGACGCAAGACATGACATGAGGTTGTGGAAATGCGTTGTCGATAGTCACGACCTTGACAAGGGTAGGGTAGCCCATGGAACAGGATTTGCTCTGCGCTGGGTCCCGGGTCATGTCGGGGTGGAGGGGAACGAGCTGGCAGACACAGCAGCGAACACTAAAGCCGCCAAGGGCAAGACGAGCGCGCCCAAAGCGCTACCCCCGCTCCTCCGCAAACCGCTCCCTCGAAGCGCAACGAAAGCGAAGCAGGCGCACCTTGAAGTCCTCACTACGAAGGACGCTAAGTGGTAGAAGTCCTCCGCGCGCGGGCGAAGGTTCCCTGCCATAGACCCGTCGCTACCCTCGCCGAAGTACATGAAGGCCATCCAACCACTCACCCGTCGCCAAGCAGCCCTGCTCTTCCAGCTCCGTTGAGGACATGCTCCCCTGAACGCCCACCTCTACCGCGTAGCCAGGGCGTTAACCCGCATGTGCAGGGGCGCTGTCTTCCACTTCCTTCTTCAATATTCAATGCCCGGTTCACGATGCAGCGCGATCTACCCACCTTTCCCATCTAGGTCGACGTGGTCGCAAACTGGCCACACTGGTCAGCACACCTTCGTTTCACCCACTCCTGCGCCACGTAGGAGCTACGCGGTGTCTCCAGAACACCTTTGGCAACGTCACGCCGAAAGGAGCCGCACAGCGCGTTAGAACGGCAGACGGTCGCCCGACACGACAACGACCTTCACGCACCCAAGACATCTCACATAGCACCACACTCTCCTCATAGCCTAGACCTCCGCATGCATTCCCGCTTGGTACCTCTTGCGCTCTCTGATCCCTTGGAAAACTGCGTTGCGGTCGCCTGCCCGCCCTAAGGGCGGGGGAGTTCTAACGGACGGCGGGGACACCGCCGGACGTACTCCTGACCGTGGCAAGAGGCAAGACCCAGGGACGTGAGCGTACCCAATGCACGGCAGTTTATCGCGTTGTCAGTCGATGTATTTACGGCCTATCATGAGGCTCGGCCTCGCGGGGCAATAAACGGGATCTAGAAAGAAAGTCACGACGCTGTCCTGCCCGTACATGTGCAAGGTCGAGAGTCGCGTCCTAGTCATCGTGACGTCGAAGACGCATGGCTGCGGCGGATACGCGGTGTGCTGCGGCAATCGTCTTTGACGAGACTGGCATTTCGCGGCGAGCGGCACATCGGCATAGGCAGTATTCTCGACGGGCCCTGTCTCTGTATGGATGAGTAGCGAGGCTAAGGCGTTTGCTATACAACGTACCTGGCTCAGCTGCTATACATACAGTGGCTTCGCTATTTCTCGATAGCCTCATGCAACCTGCCAAGAAGGGAACAGCACACACGAACTAAGTAGGATCTTGCAGGCGCGGGTTGGCCCTCGTTGCGTCCCTCGATTCCGCTTTGGCCTGCCAGCGACTAGATTACATGGCAATCGCGCCTCGAAACGTGAAACGTCCTAACGCGGGACCACATTGATGATTGCCCGTGCTGGAAGAAGAGCCGTCTGGACAATTGAGCTGCATGTTGCGCATTGGATCATCGGTCAATTGGAGGGCCAAGATGCAAGCGCGCCTGCAATCGCCCGCGCGGTCGCGACCGCAGCTAGCCTTACCCAATGACCACCATGCAGAAGCTCATCACATCCGTTCCCGCACAACGACTCAACTCTGCTCTTCCACCGTCATACGTAACATAAGACGCCCCGACAACGTGCTCGGGATCCCGACCCCTTCTTGACAAACCCGACACCAACATGCGGCATACACGTGCAGTTAAGCGAGCGGGGAGATGGCGTTTCGCGCTGGCTATATCTCTGGGGCTGCGGCGCTGAGGTCCCCTTGAGTCTTTTCCATTGTACTCCCCCACCATGTCCCATCCCTACTTCGCCCCTCAGTCCGCCGTCGAGCAAATCAAGCGGCATCCGAAGTACTACCTCAACGGTGGTGATGTCCATTTCTTGGTCCGTAGCACCCGCTTTTCCTCGTCGTGCTGTCGTGTCGCTCATGCTTAACGCTCTCCAAGGTTGAGAACTATATCTACCGTGTACATCGTTATTTCTTCGAACGCGAATCGGCATGGTTCCGTGAAAAGCTCGGTGCACCCACACCTGCGGGCCAGACTCCCAAGGGCTCGTCGGATGCCAACCCTTTCCCACTGGATGATGTCGCGGCAGACGATTTCTCCAAGTTTTTATGGGTATTCTACAATCCGTGAGTATATGGTTTGGCGTCCTGAGCGCGTATCGCCTCTGACACGTCATAGGAAATACTCAATATACGACGCTACCCTCGACGACTGGATCGCCATCTTGAAGCTCGCGTACGACTGGCGATTCGGCGAAGTAAAAAAGCTCTGCACACGCGAGATCGAGAAGTTTATCATCCAGCCAGTGCCCAAAATCGAGCTCTACCAGCAGTACGAACTCGACAAGAAGCTCCTTATCCCCTCCTTCCTCTACCTGTGCATGCGCGCCGAACCACTCTCTCTCAAGGAGGGTCGGCAGATCGGTCTCGAGACTGCACTGCTCATCGCGACCGCGCGCGAGTGTGCTCGCGGCAAGCCGGCGGGCAACGGTGCACGCAGCCCTACGGCCGCGGACCTGGAGGAGGACGAGTTGGTCTCCATCATCAAGGAGATTTTTGGGCTAACCGCCGGGCCCCCTTCTCCCTCCTTGACCCCCCTGGAGAGAGGTTCCGGCGTCGCTACGTTCACGGGGACGACTCCCACTCCGACTGGCTCTCCCCACAAGTCACGGGAAGCAGCACGGTCGCAACCACCCCCTGCTGAGGTCGTCTCGCTCAAGGCGACGAACAGCTTCGGCAAGCCCACGACGAACGAGTCGTCGATCCTTCCTCCCGCCGTCCCTGGTCTGGCGAGGCCCACGCCTCCCCACCCCGCACCTACCACCAACGGTAACACGTCGCGCCCCGCGGCCTCCCCTAACCCGATGTCGACATGGGGCTCGAACGTGGGCACGCTCCTCGGCAGCGCCGTGAACGAGTTCCTCGGCACCTCTGCGTCGCCGACTGCCGCACCCCCTTCACCAAACCCCGCCGGTAACGCTACCACTACTGTCGCCACAAACGGCAACGGCAACGCTACTACTACTGTCGCCACAAACGGCAACGGCAACGCTACTACTACTGTCGCCACAAACGGCAACGGCAACGCGAACCCGGCTCCGGCCCCCGCTACAGGTCAATCGAGTTCTTCCGCTGTGCCCAAGGTCAAAAACCGACTGATGGCCCTTTTTGACTCGCAGGGGACGGAGCCGCCAAGGGCGGAGCAGGCCTCGGCAAGAACGGAGTCGCCAAGGACTCACCAACCGCAGCCGTGGCCGGTGCCGCCGGCACCGACTCCAAGGACACTCCTACCACCCCCATCGGCGACGGAGCTAAGCCTGGCGGGGACCTTCTCTCTGCCGTCAAACCCGGAGCCGACAAGGGCGAGGACGGCGCAGACACCGGAGACGAAGGAGTCGGCGCCGCAGGAAAGAAGAAGAAAACCAAAGGCTCAAAGCTCAAGCCATGAAGAGGGCGAGGCTTCGCCTGCGGACCCGGCAACGGAGGGTGCGGTGTCCAAGGAGGCTCCGAAGGAGGGCGGGCAGGTTGTGAAGGGGACTGACGAGCGGCAGGAGGGAGAGGTGAAGACGGTTGCTTTTAACGACAATACGGACAATGCTACGGATTCCACGAATACTATTCACGGTGCGGGCACCGGCATTGGCGATGTGTCCAGTTCGATCGACAACGGCGCTACGATCCCGAACGACAACACCACGAGCGCTAAAGACAAATCTCAGAAAACTATGGACAATGGCGCGACAGATACGCAGGCGGCAGCATCTCCCGCTGCGTCTTCGCTCGGCGAAAACGCGAGCGCAACGGCTGCCACGGCTCAGGTGGGAGGGAAGAACAAGGCAGTTAGGAAGGGAACGAAGGTCGACTCCGCCAGGGAGGTGCAGGAGGGTGACGTAACGAAGGAGGAGGCTACGGTGAAGGCGAAGACGGAAGCTGCGGTGAAGGAGCCAGTTCACACGACGGCACCAGAGGCGAAGGAGGGTGCGAAGGTTCAGGGGGCTCCGTCTGATACGCTGGTAGAGGAGGCGAAGGTTGAGGAGGGTGCGCCGGCGGAGGCCAAGGAGGCGAAGGCCAAAAAGACCAAGAAGACTAAGAAGGCCAAGAAGAAGGACGCGGTGGCGAAGGAGGACTCGCAGGACACAGAGGAGTCGCAGGGCGCGCCGGGGGACAGCTCGGGCTCAGCCACGGTTCCGGCTTCGACTGGCGACAACGATAAGACATCGCCAGTGGTGCCCAACGCTATGGATTCTTCGACAATTGCCGGCACGCCTAGCACAGGCAATAGCGGCGTTGGCGTTTCCTCCGCGAAGGACCCGGTCAAGCAAGTCATCGCTCGAGGAGATGGCGGTTCCTCGGGTGCAGCTACTGCTCCCTCAGCGTCCTCTCAGCGGTCCGAGGAAGCTCCAGGGGAACACTTTCCTGTCCTCTCTGTTACTCCGTCTTCGGAGGCTCCGACGACGCAAAGCCAGACTGCTGACGCTTTCTCCATCCTGCCTGGGGTTGTCCTCAAGCCCGGTCCCTCGCCTGCGAAGGTTGATGACGCAGCGGCCTCGACAGAGTCCTCTGCAACGGCCCTACAGGCCCTAGAGACGAAGTCCGCTGTCCTTTCGGCCGCCCCAGTCTCCGCGTCGGACAGCCCCGCGAAGTTGGACATCCCTTCGGAGTTGCCCGTCTCTACACCGTCTGTCGCAGGCACGCCTAATCCGGCTCCGGACACCGCCAAGCCCACGTCGCCTATACTTCCGGACAAGTCCACCAGCTCTGAAGTTTCCGTCACCACGACTAGCGAGTCTGCTGCAGCGGCGAAGGAGTCTACTATCGGGACGCCTCCTGTGGTAGCAGAAGATAGGTCGACCAAGGACCTGGAGAGAGCGGGGAAGGATGGCGAGGACAGCGCCCACGTCGAGGTCACCGAAGCGCCCCAGGACCCTGAGCCGGAGCAAACCAAAGACGACGAGGTAGAACCCCGCTCCGACAAAGAGGACATTCCTGGTGCCTTTCCAGTCACTCCGGCCGTCAAGGATACTCCTCTCCCAGCTTCTCCGAAGCCGAAGGTCTCCAAGAAGAAGGCTACTAAGCTTGCAAGACTTGCGTCGAAGAAAGCTGCGGAGAGGGCTGGCGGGGACTCAACGCCTACTGGTAATGGTGCTCAGACCCCGATCAGCAGTCGTCCACCAACCCCCACCTTAGAGCGTACTTCGTCTACCACTGGCAATGGCAGCAACACAAGTCTCACCCCGATCGAGAAGAAGCTATCCAGTGATCCTCTCAGCGCCATTCTCGATGTTCCGCCTCCCCTACCTGCCAAGCCGTCTGTCGCTACTCAGCCCTCCGAAGACGATCCATGGGCGCTTGATTAGCTGCATCTATTCTGTCGATTCTCCATCCCAAATTTTCTGTCACGATGTTCACTAGATTTGTATGGGCGCTTTACTGTGACTCGGGCATCCGCGGGATCTGTGTTCTTGTACGACTCACGACTGTTACGATTGCTTGTTGTACGAACACCTATGAGCATGCACGCCAGCATTGTACATACCCTCCGTTGTAGTCGACGAATGCATTCGACGTCCTAGCAAGCTAGTCTGCGTGCGGCAATACGTTCGATAATCGCTTTCGATTCCTACGCGAAGCGATATACACCATGGGGTCTTCGGCGCTTGCCATCTTCGTAAATAAGGAATAACTACATGCTGGGGAGCTCAGCATCACAAGGTCAAAAGTCACCGAGTCAAATCGATACCAAAGGTCTCCGCAATGAGACGAGCCGGCCCAGGAATTGCAGTAGCACCCTTCTTGGTACCGAGCTTCTGCGTCGACTCACGCGTGGGAGGCGCAATGTCACCGCTGCGCAGGAGACTCTTCTCGATTCCCCACTGTGATCTCTCCATGCGCGGCGGCTTCACTATGACAGTCATATGCGCAGCAATGGAGTCATGTCGCATCGCAGCACTGCGGGTCAACGTGTGGTAGCCGCCCATTCGCGAAGACTTGCGACAGCTGGAATGCAGTCGCTCCCGAAGCTGCGCAACGCGCATCGCGGTCTCAAGGCCAAGCCGCGCTCCCTCGCATACCGAAAGCGGTTCGGCTCGCTCGCATAGGGCGGTATAAGCCCCGAGGAGCCAACGACCGCCAATGTCGAACTCTTGCGCGAGGATGATCTTGTCGACTGGACTCATATCCAGAGACTGGACCTCACGGATGGCCAAGGTGCGGATGTCGTTGAAGTCCCAGCGGGTCGCGAGACACAAGATCGATGTCCACTCGTCGCGAGTTCGTGCGCGATGCGCTCCGTAACACCTGGTGATGTTCGCAGTTGTTCACCCGTGGAAAGGAACGACACCTACGGAGGATACAACACCCATAGGAGTCTCTCGAAGTCAATGGCAGAGATTCCCGAGAACTGGAGTGGGTTGTCGTCATCAAGGCCCTCTGCCGTCCCAACGGGTCCAGGAAGACTGAACAAGTCCTTGAAGAACGCGGAATGTCTGGTGAACGTCGATCGGAAGACCCTGAACAAGGTGTTCTCGACCTTTCGAACAGGTCAGTCGATGGTGCGCGTAAAAGGATGGCTACCCACCTGTATGACCAGATTCCCGTCCTCGAGGTAATATTCAGGATGAGGGACAGCGAAGGGCGGCGAGTCGTTGTCAGGCTCATTCAAATGATACCGCACAGTGCTTGTGGAGGGAGAACACGAACGGCTCGACATCTTGATAATGGCGAGGCTTGATAGAGGTGAAGGAAATGATTGGTGAGGCAACGTTGTTGAAACCGCTCGGTAGAGTGTATATAGGTGGATGAGCAGACTGCGCTAGCGCATCCGAAAGGCGTGCAGAAGGTGACCTTCGGGCATGGTGGAGGGTCTGGTCTTGGCCTGCCTGTACATGAAAACAATGCGGGAAAAGCAAGTCATGACCGCAATACTTCAAACACCCATCACCCGATAGCCGGGTCCATGAGCTGTAGTCCTGCGCGCGAAGACGTGATCTCCATAGCGCAGCACTAACTGTCCAATTCGCGGAAGCTATTGAAGCTGGACATCAAGACAATGTTATCAAGCTCAAAAGTGGATCAAGATTCCAAGTAGCTTCCCTCCTACTTCTCTCTTGCATCTCGGTTGAGTATTCTTCGCAAAGTTACTCAAGTATATAGGCACACTCACCTCAAATGCGGACAGACGTGCCAGCGTTCCAAGATCCGCAAAGCAAGTAACATCGAGAGGTAGTACGTCAAGTCCGATGCGTGCTAGTTTTCAGAAGTGTAAGTCCAACGACGGTCACAAAAGCAAAACTGACTGGCGAGCCAAGCCAGTTTCGCTACCGAACGACATGAAAGAGAATGATAACGTCGCGCAGGTAGCCGCGTCCGCACACCAGGTCGACCATCAGCTGACGTTCACGTGTGCCATTGCGGGAAAGCGGCCGCATACGAAAGCTTGACAGGCACGGCCCGGGATGTGCCCAAGACGACGTTCGACAGCAATCCGGAGAAGGCGAAGCTGTGAGGAGACGAGATAGTTCAAATACATAGATCTTACTAGGGGTGATCATTCATAGCGATGTGACAACAGCTTCATGCCGGCGTATGGTGCCGATACTTAGCCTTGGGAGCGTACTGACGCACAGTCTTGTGGGGCAGCTGCATGTGCGCGGGGATCACATCACATCGGACGAGTTCGCCAGCGCAGGCCGGGTGAAGTACGCAAAGGCGCGTATCGTATCCGAACCTCTATCTGAGCAGCAAATTGAGAGTCTATACCGGGCCGCGAAGATGGGCACGACGCACCTATACAACAGACTGGGCAGCGCGCATTCCATTCATGACTCCTTGACTCCATACCCTTGAAATGCATCCTGAAACACCCCATGCGTGCCCCTCCCGCCTATGATCGCAAAGACGACATTCTCGAACGAGTTTTTGAACCGTGCACCGTCCTTCAGCAGCAGGTCCGCCCATATCCTGGCCACCGTCTCCACCTTGTTCTGGAACACGCCCGTGCCAAAGCTGCCCAGGACGACATGCTGTATCCGCTGCTGCTCGAAGAGATATAGGATTCGGGCCATCCGATCCTTCATCACTTGCTCGATCTTGTCCTCCACACCTGGACCCGCGACGCGCCCGAAGAGGGTCTTCCGCACAACCCCCGCGTTCACAGCTGGGCTTGTCAGGACATCGATCTGATACGGCTTGACCCACTCCCCGTCGTCGTCGCGAACGACGGTGACGCCCGGAGAGTAGACCATGGCGTGCGTGTAGTATCCTCCCTTAGCGTCGCGGTTGTGCAGCGTGTAGAACGCCTGCGCGGTACGGGTCATGAGTGTGGGGTAGAGCGTGGATGAGCGTGCGATCGACTCCTCTTGTGCCTGCGCGCCAGTGAGGAAGCCGCCTCCGGGCTTCTTCGCCGAGGCAAAGTTCAGCACGCCGACTTTGGGGGCGTTTGTCCGGTCTGGGGTCTCTGCGGTGCGCAGGAGGGCATGGAGGAAGCGTGCCCCTTCGAGTGTAGAAGCGGCGAGGAGGACGACGTTGGGGTTGTCCGCAGGTACGTGGGGGGCGCCGGATGCCCAAGACAAGAGGACGGAGTCGGGGGCATAATATGAGGTGTTGCGTTTCGAGAGTTCTGTTGAGATGCGCAGGTCGTACGTCGTGTCGTGGAGGTTATATGATCCTTTCTCAATCGCGCTTAGCGTGCCTTGGGCGATGTCTTTCAGTTTCGCCCGCCTATCTCCCATGTCGAATCTGCTGGAGGCTACAGGGAGCGTTAGTAGTGACAATGCCGTTAGTCTTAGATATCCGTACGGGTGTGTGAGTTGCCTTGAGGTGCCAGAGGTGATGAACTTTGCAGGGAGAATCTGCAGTAATGGCTTCTAGGCGGGACTTTCCAGGATATCTATGTAATTGCATCGTTGCGTCGGATCACAAGATGGACATACTACGGATTCAAGTGTATGGCAGACGGCATGGAGATCTAGACGCAGCTGTAATGTGACTCAGATGATGAGACCGTGATTCACGACAAATGTCAAGGTCCTAACGCGTCTTCCGGATGCTGGGGCGACGATGTGACTTCGAACTGGGCGCTCACCCTGGCCGCAGCCAACCTCGTGCGACACAGCCACATAATGTTTATATCACCACAACCGTAACGCCGCCCAGGCGCGACACTCCACCAATCATGACAGTGGTAAGCCAGATGTAATGTCAGTACGCTCGTAGACGCGACGGATTCCGGGAGCCCGCGCACAAGATAACGGAGCTTTGTGTCAGCGTCCTCCTGACACACTAAGCTCTAGGCCTATCGTATCTACTATTAAACGTATGCGATGCTTCTCCACACGCCACAAACACGATGCCAGCGCACAGGTCATGCACACGACGGTCCAACGGACGCAGCACCGCCTCCAAGAACTTCAACAGGGGTGAGATGCGTATCACTGAAGAACTAGACCTCGGTGTCGACCTATGAGTTCAGGCCTCAGGGATACTGCAGGAAAATACACTACGCTCGCTGAAGACAGCCATGTCCATCCTCATCATAGTTGTCCTCGGTCCGACTGACCCGCCTGCCTGGGAAGAGGGAACATACGGGAGACAGCGTCTCATATTCCGAGGTCGCAACGCGCAACTCGGGGCGCCGCTGGCCTGGCTGCTGATGCCGTCTGTGCGTGTTAGCACACGAGCTGCGTCTACAGACTCGAATTTGACACACGATAAACACCGGTACCCGGTGAAGCCTTCCTGGCCCAACAAATCAGTATATCTAGCTACCCCTAGGACTCATTGAGTCTCCAACAACACAGATCTCAAAGTCGTCAGTGGATACGCGTCGCCCTTGCCAGGTTACCATACATCGATTCCTCTTCATAAGGACGCATGGAGCGGACCGTTCGTTGTGCGCACCCGAACGTACCCAGCATGACCATCTTGACCATCGAATCCATATGGTACCGGCTGCAACCGGACCTGGCCGCGCACGACGCCCATCCCCTCGTTCATTGCTGTGACGTTCCGCCTACGGCCCGTCCCGGTAGGATCTTGAGAAGTCCCGACACCGACGGTTGGGCGCAGGAACGGGGATCCTTGCAACTCGTAACGGCCCTCGAACATACTGTGCATCACGACATACGCGGGTGCGTTACACGTCTGCAAAGAGGCGTTGAGTACGGAGTTGGCGGGTCCATCTTGAAAAGCGACCCTCAGAGGGCCGTTGGTAGTGTTGGCAGTGACGTCAAAGGAACCGCCCCTGACGCTAGGCGCGGTAGACGTCAGAGAGACGTTTGCTTCAATCGGCCTTAGGATAAGGATAGAGTGCTATATGAGCGCCCCCGAAATGGTGCATAACGAGGACATAGACATACCCGTTGGTTGTCTGGAGGCTCATGAAGGTTGGTAGTCCTGAGACGTCGTTCATTAGATCCGCGGTGAGGTGAATCGGTCCGTTTCTCGTTGCCACAGTCAACCGCTCGGAGACAAGCAGCGTTCCGCGCACTCCTCCATTCACAGTCACGAAAGAGACGTTTTCTCCTGCTAACGACTAGCCGAGTTGTTCCTCTCAGAGAAAGATCCCGGCTATTGGATCTTGATAAAGTGCGTACCTCGGTCTCGATGGAAGCATCACTGGTGTTCAACGCAACTTGTCCGAAGAAGACGGATCTCGCTAGCTCATGGAGGTGGTGGGAGAACAGTGGCATGAAAGTGCTCAGTCCTTGGATGCGAAGTGGTACGGCTGTAACATAATCTGGAGCCGGAAGACGGAGCTGCACACGGAAGCGGACGGCCTTATCACGGTTGAGAGCGTTCGGTCCGTCTCCCGTCTGGGCCGGCAGATGGTATTCAGTCAACGCGCTATGGATGCGATGCGAGATGCAATAGCGAGACTCACATAGACTCCAACCCCGTACTCTCCTTGTGCTGGATGCAAACGACGCACCAGCACCTCGTTCAGAGCGTCGGCGGCACGAAAGAAGGCGTCGATGTTGACCACAAACTCTTCTGCGCCCGGATCTCCGGATTGAGTGACTTCGAAAAAGCCAGAGCAGTGTACGCCCCCGCTCACAAAGTGGAGAGTGTCGACTTCAGCGATGGGGAACCTGGTGGTGCCACGAGCATGGTATTGTCCGCGCTCTCTATGCGGGGAGAGCGACAAGGTGATGATTTCTACACCATCGTCGACTGGTGAAGGGTTCATGATGTGTGCAGTGAAAAGGACGTGTGCTGCGGCAGCAAGATGTTTGAAGCGGTGTCCTCGTGGGATAGAAGTTCACGGAGAGGTCATCCGGCTCCTACAGAAAGAAGTCAACCAATTGCGTCACAAGGCTCGCTAGGGAAACCGTACCTATGATTTACGGTACGAGTGCTCCATTTAGTGCAATCTTCCTGCGACCAATCCCCGGGCCGAAGACGGATTCCGAAGCAATGAAAGCTCGACGAACACGACAGCAGCACGAGTTACGACAAGAATGGGTACAAAAACCGATGCCTGCTATTGACGGGGGCGAAAGACAAGATGCAGGTACGGGAGTGAAGAAGGATCGTCGCAACAGTCAACTCGGAGCGCCCTCTGGCGATCACACCGTGAGCTGAAGCCGACCATTGGATGTCGAAACAGACACCCGACCCCTATCCCTGTTCTCCTGCTCCCACCAAACCTTGCCGCGTGCCGCACTGTTCCGGATGGTCTGAACCTGGACGCCGCGCTTGCGTCCGCGCCCAGCGGGATCCTCGACGTCGCGAGAGCGGACGATAGGTCTGCCGGCGTTGGACGTGTGCACTTCGAACGAGCCCTCATAGGTCTCATGCAAGGCGACATCAGCACGGCCGTTGGAGGTACGCGCGGAGGCGGTCAACACGTGGTCGACGGGAGCATCAACGAACTCGAGTTCCAGGTGAGCGTTCGAGGTCTGGGCCGTCACCTGGTACTCGCCGCCGAGCGCGTCCGAAGTGTTCGAGAGCAGTACGACCTGACTGTTGATACGACTAGCCAAGCATCGTGTTAGTATGCGCGTCGGAACATGTACTCAGAGACCCACCCGTTTGTAGACCGGAGTTCGAGGCCGTAAGCCGTCTTGATCAAGCCGTGGATAGCAGCATTCGTCGTTTGGAACCGAAGTCCATCCCCGGCGACAGACTAGGTCTTGATAAGCGGAATGATAGACATGACGATCAGGGAGCCACTTACTCCTGCCTCGATGTGGCCGTTAGTCGACTTCAACGCGATCCTATTGAAGTAGACCGAGTCGGCTAACGCGCGGAGGTCTTGGCTGAAGTTGCTCAGATCGGTATTGAGCTCCTTCACGGCGAGCAATGAGCCAGAGTCAACGGCAGGCAGACGAAGATGTATATGGAAACGAAGCAGGTGGTGGTCGTTCCTGGGCGCCCTCCAATGTGGAGTCTGTCGGTATGCAAATCAGCACACGTTGTAGCCGCCACGATGATCAGGGGATACTGACGAAGATACCCAGACCCCACTCGTTGTCGGCAGGGTGCAGACGGCACACTGTTGTTTCATCGAGGTCTTCCTCATGGTGGTAGAAGAGGTCAATTTCGACGATAGCGTCAGAACCAGCGTTGGCCGTCTGCGAGACCTCGAGAGAGCCGTGGAAGCGTGCCCCTTCCGCGACGACGGACAGTACGTCTGCCGAGACGGAAAGAGTCACAGACGAGCGCAAGTGGAAGCGGTACCCGTGCGGTACATCGGAGGCCTCCTCCCAAACCACTTTGGTGGAACATTGGTCTGGGGAAGACGCCATAGCGTGTCGTTCCGACTTATGCTAGACCGTCTTGAAGATCAGCATAAGAACGACGCCACTAATTGCCGAGATCTTACAGGGGGTGCCAGACGCCCGGTCTGGAAAAGTAGGAAGCCAAAGGTACCAAATATGAAAAGCGTGCAGGCCAAAAGATGCCAAAACCGACGCCCGCGAGCGTTCCTGGGGCTGCCTTGTGGGATCACGTCGACGCGAGGCTGGTACACGAGAGGATGACCACTGAGATCAAGAGGGAGAGGCCCAAGGAGTGGCTCGGTCTCGGTCCCTTTCTCTGAGTCAGGCCGTGCAGCGGAGGAGTGGATCATCGTGGTGCGTGGTCAGTTGCGATCAGCATAAAACGGCGGTGAGACTGACACTAATAAATTACTTTTATACGGCGAAACCGTGGGCGCTCGACATTTGGATTGTTTTCGAAATCTAGGCATGGCGTCATCAGACGGGAGCTGCGCTCGCGCTGGATGCACAATGGGCACTGCGCAGTGACTGTGCGTTGCGGCGAGAGGTGTCCAAATGTGTATTCAACGCGCGAGTGTATACATGCGCAGCAACGTCAGATGAGGTGACGAGCGTGGATCAAATCTGACGGAAGTATGTATGAGCACGGGAACTGCGGCCTGCTGCGATAAGTCGTCTTGCGTGCTCTCTAGCTCTCGAGCAATCAGACATGATGCCAGCGAACGAGCGAGCACGAACGGAGTCGGGGGGGATGCGCTAGCCCCTCCGCAGCATAGGAATACGCGCAGCATCTAGAATATGATAAAGTACCATGTGTACCGCACACGAGTAGCGGAAGATAGTAGATGACTACACCTCGGGGTGATCCCGACCTGTCATACATATGGGCTGGCGACCCCGGGACGGTATCCGGAATGATATCAGATCCATATCTGGTCCGGATACCGAGACCATATGAAGTCAGCTCTTACCGGTGTCATACAGTCCAGCCCATATGATGTCTATATAGGCCACTGTATGGATAGCATATGGGTCTCGTATGTACAGGGTGTTGGTGAGAGAGCGCCCGCATGGCAGGCACCAGGGTGGCATTCGTTTTAGGTAATATTACTTATCGTCTGCAATATACATATAATCACACTTGGGAGATAGCCGCAATGCTGCTATTCATTCTGGTATATAGGATCGCGCATTACAATGAAAGGAGTGTTGGGATAGATACACGAAAGGAGGGAACAGTCGGCGGCGGGTGTCCCATACAACATACTATAGCCAGGAGCACCAAGAGTCATACCGCCCGNACTA